AAAAAAAAAAAAAAAAAAAAAAATGTCAATTGTTGGACCTCTTCCTAAAACTCCATTAAATGTTTGAAGAAGGGTACAAGCATTTCTTTTTTTGAGATGGAGTCTCACTCTGTTGTCCAGGCTGGAGTGCCATAGTATTTTTTTTTTTTTTTTTTTTTGTTAGGGACAGAAAATGGCTCTGTCACCCAGGCTGGAGTACAATGGCATCATCTTGGCTCACTGCAACCTCTCCCTCCCAGCTTCAAGCAATTCTCCTGCCTCAGCCCCCCAAGTAACTGGGATTACAGGCGTATGCCACCACACCCAGCTAATTTTTGTATTTTTAGTAGAGATGGGGTTTCACCATGTTGACCAGGCTGGTCTCAAACTCCTGACCTCAGGTGTCCGCCCACCTCTGCCAACATGCTGTGATTACAGGTGTGACCCATCACACCCCGGTGCAATGGCATTTTTAAACAAATAACCCAGAGATTCTGATGTAAGGATTCACTGAGAAACACTGAACTACAGGATGAACTAAGATCATCTAGAAGCAAGATCAGAATCTAGAAGACTTTGATATATTTGGGAAAAGTGACTTTTGCTGTTAAGAAAGTTTTCAATTTAGTAGCCTGTAATTTAATTCCCAAATCATCAAATAATGTAATATATCACAATAAAAAAATTTAACTTCTCCAAAACAAACTGTTCTGGGTAACAAAGCAAATTTTTATCTTCCTTAGGACACAATCTTCTCAATATTTACATCCATCTCTAATCTCATCCTTGTTCAATCTAACATTTCAATACTTTCAAATATAAAGAACTTGGGAAACTGGGAATTTTCACCTGAAACACACATTAGTAAAATGTAAAATAAGACCAATTATCAGTTTGGCCTACAAAATCATAAAAGGCACTTAAATGCACAGTAGTGTTCAGATATTCTTGATACTAAACTAAATAAGAGATTTTCATTCAATTATATACTATTGTTAAATTAGAATTAAAAAGAAAAGTTCTGCCAAGAGATTGTAAATCATGAAAAGCTCAAATAAATAATATAAGATCCTCTAGGTGGCCTTTAATCAACCCCAGAACTAAAATAAGATCACCCACTCTCCAAGACTTTCTTAAAATTGCTATTAAATAACTCTTCAAAACCTGCCCAATTTTGACAAACATTCTCAAGAGGTTAGCTGTCTTTAACTAGAGATCATCTAAAAATATTAGTAAGAGCCCAAGAGAAAAACAACTCCAAGTCAGAACAACTCATTTTGATTTAAGCCAAGTAGGCCTTTTAACTTTTCGCCAAAGCAAAACTATGATGTATTGTCCACAACAAACCACAACCGCTAAATGGGAAAACAATTTGAAAGAGTCTTCCTAAATTGGGATTTCTTACCTCGAACAAGTTGAGTGCACTTTACTACATGAGTATGTGGGTGGTCAATTGTTAGTTCAAAGCCTTAAAAGAAAAAGTAGCTGGTTAAAAAACTATCAAGAAATTTACATTTTTACAAAGTATTGTAAAAGGACAACTGATTGTGAATTAGAGCTTACTGGTTTCCACATTAAAATATTAAAAGAAATTTATTCCAACAGAAAAATATCACTGTCCCATGAAATACGATTAATTTGAAGATATTTTTTTAAAAAAAAGTTGACTAGGCTGGGCATGGTGGCTCACGCCTGTAATCCCAGTACTTTGGGAGGCCAAGACGGGAGGATCACGAGGTCAAGAGATTGAGACCATGCTGGCCAACATGGTGAAACCCCGTCTCTACTAAAAATACAAAAAATTTGCTGGGCATGGTGTCATGTGCCTGTAATCCCAGCACACTCAAGAGGCTGATGCAGGAGAATCTCTTGAACCAGGGAGTCAGAGGTTGCAGTGAGCCCAGATCATGCCACTACACTCCAGCCTGGAGACAGAGCAAGACTCCATCTCAAAAAAAAAAAAAAAAAAAGAAAGAAAAGAAGAAGAAAAAGAAAAAAAGTTGACTAGAAGAAATTAACTTGAGAGGGAAACTCTGAAGAACTCATCATGTATATATATGTGCAAAAAAAAATCTGTACCAATAACTTTCAAGTACAACTCATGAAATCATACCCTACCTAGAGAAAAATGATAGCCCAAAAGAACAAGGATAAAAAAATATTTATTTTCATATTTTCTAAATTTTTAAAGGCAGCCTATGTGATGAAAATAACAGATAATAACATCATCAGAGTCGCCCATGCAACCACTAAAGCTTCAGTTCTCCCACTGTCACTCTGATGTTCTGAACACTAGTTACCAATTTTAAAAATAAATGCTGTTACAGACCACAACAATAAATAGAAGGAAAAACATTATTTATCTATAGTTTTTATAATTTTTGAAGGTAAATCAGCAAAACTTAAAAAGCAAATCATGAACCCTAGAATGAAAAGAAAAAAAAATCCACTAATTGCTACGTCAAAGGTCAGCTGTACTACCTGCATTTGTTATATGGAATAGGCAAGGTTAAACTCAGTCTACAACTATAATCTAGAAACAGATGATACTACAAAAACTTTCCCAAGTAATTTTCTTCCTATTTAGCAAATTTTTAAAATCATATTATTTTATTGCATAATTTTTTAAAAAAGTTTCAAAGGAAAATAAACTTACCTAAAGTCTGCAAAATTATGCTTTCTAAAATGACCAGATCTTGAACTTGTTGCAAATAAGCCTAAAAGTGAAAAGACAGAAATTATTTCCCACAAAGGCACAATATATAAACAATTCTAACACTCCCTCCCAGGAAACCAAAACAATAAAAGGTATGAATGGAGATAGGAAGTAGAGTTAAGAACTGAAATACAATCTTTATCCTTTATGCCCATTCAGTGAAGATTTTCTTATTTAAAAAAAAAAAAAAAAAAAAAAAAAAGGCAGTACACTGAGAGACATACTTTATTCATATATGGCTACAGGAAAAGCACCAGATATTTGGTTCATTTTCTTCTTCTTTTTTTTTTCTTTCTCTTTTTTCTTTCTTTGGTTCATTTTCGGACTAACTTTAGGTTTTACGGTTCATGTGATTCAGATACAAGAAAATTTAAAGCATATGTTTTTCTTTTTTTTTCTTTTTGAGACAGAGTCTCACTCAGCTGCCCAGGCTAGAGTGCAGCGGCATGATCGCAGCTCACTGCAACCTCCACCTCCCAGGTTCAAGCAATTCTCCTGCCTCAGCCTCCCGAGTAGCTGGGATTACAGATACCTTCCACCATGCCTGGCTAATTTTTGTGTATTTAGTAGAGACGGGTTTCACCATGCTGGCAAAGCTAGTCTCGAACTCCTGACTTCAGGTGATCCACCCACCTCAGCCTCCCAAAGCGCTAGGATTACAGGTGTGAGCCACCGTGCCCAGCTGTAAAGTATATATTTTTCAACATCACCAAAATACATTTGCAGAACCTTCCTACAGTACTGTAAGCATTTAACTGATATCAAACATTTGACTCCTATTAGACCTTCCCCTCTGGGACCATGCTAGGTTTCTAAAAAGTAACAGAAGAGTTCAAAGGAAAAGGTAATAAAAAAATGTTCTCAGGTACATGCCAGCCAAAACTATAGCAACCAGCCACATGTAGCCATTCATCACTTGAAATGTAGCTAGTCTAAATTGACATGTGCTATAACCATAGCACATAACTGGATTTTTAAGACAGTTAGAAAATTAAAAAATGGGCCAGGCACAGTGGCTCATGCCTGTAATCCCAGCACTTTGGGAGGCTGAGGTGGGTAGGTCACGAGGTCAGGAGTTCAAGACTAGCCTGCCCAAGATGGTGAAATCCTGTCTCTACTAAAACCACTTAGCTGGGTGTGGTGGCACGTGCCTGTAATCCCAGGGAGTCCGATGCAGAGAATTGCTTGAACTTTGGAGGTGGCAGTTGCAGTGAGCCAAGACTATGCTACTGCACTCCAGCCTGGGCAACAGAGCAAGACTCCTTCTCAAAAAAATAAAAAATAATGAAAAATTAAAAATGTAGCTGGGCATGGTTGCTCACATCTAGAATCCTAACACTTTGGGAGGCCAGGGTGGGAGGATTCTTCAAAGGCCAAGAGTTCGAGACCAGCCTGGGCAACATGGTGAGACTCCCCCATCTCTACAAAAAAAATTAAAAATGAACTGAGAGTGGCGGCATGCAGCTATAGTCCTAGTTACTTGGGTGGGTGAGGTGAAACAATCACCTCGGCCCAGGTGTATGAGGCTGCAGTGGGCTACAATCTTGCTACTACACTCTAACATAGGCAACAAAGCGAGATTCTGTCTCAAAGAAAACAGCTGGGCACAGTGGCTCATGCCTGTAATCCCAACATTTCGGGAGGCTGAGGTGGGCAGATCACTTGAGTCCACGAGATTGAGACCAGCCTGGGAAACATAGCAAGACCCTGTCTCTACCAAAAATACAAAAAATTAGCTGGGCATCATGGTGCGCACCTATAGTCCTAACTACTTTGAGAGCTGAGGCGGGAAGATCAATTGAGCCCAGGAAGTTGAGGCTGCAGTGAGCCTTGGTCACACCACCACACTCCAGCATGGGCAGCAAAGCAAGACCTGCCTCAAAAAAGAAAAAAAAAAAAAGGCTAAGCACAGTGGCTCACGCTTGTAATACCAGCACTTTGGGAGGCAGAAGTGGGCAGATCACTTGAGGCCAAGAGATCGGGACCAGCCTGGCCAACATAGCGAAATCTTGTCTCTACTAAAAATACCAAAAATTAGCCGGGCATGGTGGCGCATGCCTGTAATTGCAGTTACTCCGGAGGCTGAGGCAGGAGAATAGCTTGAACCCAGGAGGTGAAGGTTGCAGTAAGCTGAGATTGCACCACTGCACTCCAGCCTACGTGACACAGCGAGAGTCGGTCTCAAAAAAAGAAAAGGAAAGAATGTAAAATAACCCATTAGTAACTTTTTAACATTCATTATACGCTAAAATGCCAATGTATTGAATATACTGGGTTAAATATATGTATTACATGTTAAATAAATATTGTATTATACATTTGTTAAATATAGCCTGTATTTTACATATTGGACATTGTATTATATATATAGTTTCCTTTTAAAAAATAGATTTTAGCCGGGCGCGGTGGCTCACGCTTGTAATCGCAGCACTTTGGGAGGCCGAGGCGGGTGGATCATGAGGTCAAGAGATCGAGACCATCCTGGTCAACATGGTGAAACCCCGTCTCTACCAAAACTACAAAAAAATTAGCTGGGCATGGTGGCGCGTGCCTGTAATCCCAGCTACTCAGGAGGCTGAGGCAGGAGAAATGGTTGAACCCAGATGGCAGAGAGAGTCCCCGCACTAGCACCCGGGGATAAAAAAAGAAAAAACAAAACAAAAAAAACAAAATAAAAAAAAAAAAAAAAAAAGATTTTAATAAAGTTTAATGAAAAGTTAAAATTTTTAAATTAAATATGTGGCTCCCACTATCTTTCTATTGGACAGTACTGATCTAGAACTCTAAGAAAATGAGACCTGGGTCGGTAGTTAAAAGACCTAATGTTAACTTTTCTTAAGGAAACAGGAACCCACCATAGGCAGGGTAACATTATTTTGAAAATCACCTTCATCTTAAAACTAGCAAGGCACACTCCTTGCAAGTCATGACCCATGGTCATAAGACATTTGCAGCTAAGGAAGCAGCTTAATAATGCCTGAAAGAACAAACTCCTACAACAAAATGTTCCGATGTCTTGATAGCACATAATGATATATACTTTTTAAATATAGTCATGCTTTGATGTGCTTACACACTAAAATGCCAAAGATAGTTTTCGTTAAATCAACAAAATAATACATTTTGTCACAATGTCAACCCACCCACATGTAGACATACCTTAGCTTTTACATAGATAAGACCCCTACATAAGAAATGCTTAAAAGGCTGGCCATGGGGGCTCACACCTGTAATCTCAGCACTTTGAGAGGCTGAGGCAGGCTGGTAGCTTGAGGTCATGAGTAGAGACCAGCCGGGACAACATGGCAAAATCTGTCTCTACAAAAAATAGAAAAATTAGCTGGGTGTGCCTGTAGTCCCAGCTACTTGGGATGCTGAAGTCTGAGGAGCACCTGAGCTCAGGGAGGTTGAGGATACCACCTTGTGAGTGAGCCACCATCGTGCCACTGTACTCCATCCTGAATGACACAGTAAGATTTTGTCTCAAAAAATAAAATAAATTTTAATTTTTAAAAAAATGCCTAAAGATGAGACATTCCTTCTCTTGCTTTCTGAGGATACCCTACTCTGTAAGTGAGTCGCTTATAGTCAACTATCTCTTCTCACTGTACTCTGTGACTCACCTTGAACTCTTCTGTGAAATCCAAGAACTCTTTCTTGGGGTCTGGATTGGGATCTCCTTTTTCATAACTTTATGATTTGAATATGTCATTAAGAACTTAAAACTATGCTAGTTCTCCCTTCCATATAGGAGAAAATATCTTCTCCCTAACAAACTCACAAGAACTGCAGACTCAGGTAAGAAGTTATATTTTGTTTAATTCTGTTAACTCAATTCTATAGACCAATGGCATTTACTAGTCTCAAACCTGAACAAAGTCCACAGCAATCACTCTTTCCACAAGAGCTACTGGTGTGGCATAAACAGAAAAATGAAGGAAATCAAGACACTGCTATGCAAACATTATTAGGAAGGATTATTACCAAAAACAAAAACTCCCTTGCCTTCCAAAAAATCTCTCTCCAACATAAGAAAACACACAATTCCATTTATTTATTTGATAAAGGACAAGCCACACATTCATTGTAAGAGGCTTAAATAATCTAGTGCCACAAATCCATAATTTTTCTCCAATCACTTACAAGTGTCAGACCTCTCAATTCATCACTCCCCAATCACTGACTCCTAACACCAGGAGAGACTTTTCTTCCTATTTTATTTTTGAGATAGAGTTTGGCTCTGTCACTTAGGCTGGAGTGTAATACCGCCATCTTACTGCAACCGCTGCCTCCCAGGCTCAAGCAATCCTCCCACCTCAGCCTCCTGAGTAGCTGGGACCACAGGCATCCACCACCATGCCCAGCTAATTTCTGTATTTTTGGTAGAGATGGGGTTTTACCATGTTGCCCAAGCTGGTCTTGAACTCCTGGGCTCAAGCAATCCTCCCATCTCGACCTCCCAACGCGCTGGGATTACAAGCGTAAGCCACCATGTTCAGCCTTTTCCTTCCTTAAAAAACTCAAAAAAGGATGGAAAAAATCAAAAAAGCTCTGTGGATATGTGCAGGATAAAGATCTGGAAGAATATATATCGGCTGGGTGCAGTGGCTCATGCCTGTAATCCAGCACTTTGGAAGGCCGAGGTGGGTTGATCACCCTTTATCAGGAGTTCTAGACCAGCCTGGCCAACATAGTGAAACCCCTTCTCTACTAAAAATACAGAAATTAGCTGGGCATGGTGGTGGGCACCTGTAATCCCAGCACTTGGGAGGCCAAGGAGGAAGGATTGCTTGAGCTCGAGGTCAAGAGCAGCCTGGGCAATCTGGCAAAACCCCATCTCTACAAAAACCAGCTGGGCATGGTGGCGCACATCTATAGTCCCAGCTATTTGGGAGGCTGAGGTGTGGGGGGATCACCTGAGCCCGGGAGGTCAAGGCCACAGTGAGCCATGACCACATTATCACACTCCAGCCAAGACAACACAGCGAGACCCTGTCTCAAAAAAAAAAAAGTATTTTTCATAACATTTCTAATGATGAAAAGCTAGAAATTATCTAGACTTTCTTTTTTTTTTTTTTTTTTTTGAGGAGACGGAGTTTCGCTCTTGTTACCCAGGCTGGAGTGCAATGGCGCGATCTCAGCTCACCACAACCTCCACCTCCTGGGTTCAGGCAATTCTCCTGCCTCAGCCTCCTGAGTAGCTGGGATTACAGGCACGCACCACCATGCCCAGCTAATTTTTTGTATTTTTAGTAGACACGGGGTTTCACCATGTTGACCAGGATGGTCTCGATCTCTTCACCTTGTGATCCACCCGCCTCGGCCTCCCAAAGTGCTGGGATTACAGGCGTGAGCCACCGCGCCCGGCCTTATCTAGACTTTCTTAATGGAGCATGGTTACAACTACATACACATGCACATTTATCATTAAATACTAGCCAGACATTTTTGAAAAGCAGAGAATCAATCAGATGGGAAAATATTTGGGATATAGTAAGCAAAAAAAAAAAGAGACAAAATACATGCACACATAGCTATTTATAGAAAAGAAGCCACAAATAACAGTAGTTCACTAGTATACCTGTGCTTCAGTGGTCTAGAACAGGGGTTCCATGGCCTGTTATGAACTAGACTGCACAGCAGGAGGCAAGCAGCAAGCAAGTGAATGAAGCTTTATCTGTATTTACAGTCGCTCCCCATCATTCACATTGCTACCTGAGCTCTGCCTCCTGTCTGATCAGCTCACGGCTCCCACTGACTCTACATTATGGTGAGTTATACAGTTATTTCGTTATGTATAAAAATGTAATAATAGAAAAGTGAACAATAAATGTAATGTGCTTGAATTATCCCAAAACCATCTCCAACCCCATCCCTCCATCCATGTAAAAACTGTCTCCCATGAAACCAGTCCCAGATGCCAAAAAAGGTCTGGGACTGTTGGTCTAGAATACATCTGACAGATATTTTCTTAATTTTTCTGTTATTTTTAAATTTTATTGCAACAAATGTAAAACTTTTACCATAAAATTATGTTTTGTTTTGTTTTGAGACAGTTGCCTGCAGTGGTGTAATCATGGCTCACTGCAGCCTCAACATCCCATGCTTAAGCAACCCTCCCACCTCAGCCTCCCAAGTAGCTGGGACTAAAAATGTGAGCCAGCACACTCAGCTTTTTTTTTGGAGAAATGGGGTCTCACTGTGTTGCCAGAGCTGGTCTTGAATTGGGCTCAAGCAATTCTCCTGCCTCAGCCTCCCAAAGTGCTGGGACTACAGGGATGAGCCACCACATCTGGTTTTTGTTTGTTTGTTTGTTTTTTAATATAGAGACAGGGTCTTACTATGTTGTCCAGGCTGGTCTTGAACTACCCTCAAGTGATTCTCCCACCTTACTCTCCCAAAGTGCTGGGATTACAGGTGTGAGCCACCACATCTGCTCTAATTGTTTCGTTGTTAAGGAAAACACCAACACTAAAAGGTTCTTTTAACAACCCCAATCCAAACTTCAATAAATCAAAGTTACAAAATTAAATTGCATCAAAATACATAAAGATCCAGGGCATGCTTGGGAGTAGGGGAAAAAAAAGAAAAAATAATAAGAAAAACAGATGTGTAATTCATCTCCTACCTCACTTCTAGTATCAGGAAGGGATTCCTGAGGATGCAGACAAGTATGTGCCACCTTAATGACATGTTCCAATTTTTTGGGCTGCTCCTCCACTTTAGCTGCTAGAAACAAGGCTGCTGGAGCCACAGACTGGAGAGAAAATAAATCATATTTGTTATCAATTTATTCATTTTTAGATCAAGGTAGATCTAAAGAGGAGCTAAGTCTCAAATCAACTTATTTGCTTGCCTCTACTTTGTCACCTCTTTACACTTTTCCCCCAGCTTTTAGTATCCTTCCCTCTCCTATCCATTAATCCATGTCTACTTCCAAACACCAATTACAAATCACTCGATACATTTTTTTTTTTTTTTTTTAAAGATGAAGTCACGCTCTGCTGCCCTGGTTGGAGTGCAGTGGTGCGATCTCGGCTCACCACAACCTTCACCTCCCGGGTTTAAGCAATTCTCCTACCTCAACCTCCCCAGTAGCTGGGACTACAGGTGTACACCACCATGCCCAGCTAAATTCATTCATTTATTTATTTTTTTGAGACAGAGTCTCACTCTGTCGCCAGGCTGGAGTGCCGTGGCGCAATCTCAGCTCACTGCAACTTCTGCCTCCCAGGTTCAAGTGATTTTCCTGCCTCAGCCTCCTGAGTAGCTGGGATTACAGGTGCACACTATCATGCCTGGCTAATTTTTGCATTTTTAGTAGAGATGGGGTTTCACCATGTTGGCCAGTATGATCTCAATCTCTTGACCTTGTGATCTGCCCACCTTGGCCTCCTAAAGTGCTGGGACTACAGGTATGAGCCACCAACCCTGGCTAATTTTTGTATTTTTAGTAGAGACGGGGTTTCACTATGTTGGCCAAGCTGGTCTCGAACTCCTGACCTCCACCCAACTCGGCTTCCCAAAGTGCTGGGATTACAAAAAAATTAGCCAGGCATGGTGGCACACGCCTGTAATCCCAACTACTTGGGAAGCTAAGGCAGGAGAATCACTTGAACCTGGAAGGCGGAGGTTGCAGTGAGCTGAGATGACACCATTGCACTCCAGCTTGGGCAACAAGAGTGAAACTGTCTCAAAATAAATAAATAAATAAAACAAAATATAAGCACTATACCTATCACAGTATTAGGAATACACTGTACTGGGGCCAGGTGAGGTGGCTCACGCCTGTAATCCTAGCACTTTGGGAGGTTTAGGTGGGCGGATCACGAGGTCAGGAGTTTGAGACCAGCCTGACAAACATGGTGAAAACCTGTCTCTACTAAAAATACAAAAATTAGCCGGGTATGGTGGCGCATGCCTGTAATCCCAGCTACTCAGGAGGCTGAGGAGCAGAATCACTCAAATCCAGGAACCCAGGAGGCAGAGGTCGCAGTAGGCTGAGATCAAGCCACTGCACTCCAGCCTGGGCAACAGAGCAAGACTACATCTCAAAAAAAGAAAAGAAAGAAAGAAATACACTGTAACTTGGTCTGAGTGGTGACTACATATAATAATGCAAAATGGGCCGGGCGCGGTGGCTCACGCCTGTAATCCCAGCACTTTGGGAGGCCGAGGCGGGTGGATCACGAGGTCAAGAGATCGAGACCATCCTGGTCAACATAGTGAAACCCCGTGTCTACTAAAAATACAAAAAATCAGCTGGGCATGGTGGCGCATGCCTGTAATCCCAGCTACTCAGGAGGCTGAGGCAGGAGAATTGCCTGAACCCAGGAGGCGGAGGTTGTGGTGAGCCGAGATCGCGCCATTGCACTCCAGCCTGGGCAACAAGAGCGAAACTCCGTCTCAAAAAATAATAATAATAATGCAAAATGACAATGCAAAATTTAATCAATCTGTATGATTCAGATTTTTGTGCTTTCCTGTATGTCATACCCCAATAAAAATTTTCTTTTTTTTTTTTTTGAGACGGAGTTTCGCTCTTGTTACCCAGGCTGGAGTGCAATGGCGCGATCTCGGCTCACCGCAACCTCCGCCTCCCGGGTTTGGTCAATTCTCCTGCCCCAGCCTCCTGAGCCACTGGGATTACAGGCACGCGCCACCATGCCCAGCTAATTTTTTGTATTTTTAGTAGAGACGGGGTTTCACCATGTTGACCAGGATGGTCTCGATCTCTTGACCTCGTGATCCACCCGCCTCGGCCTCCCACAGTGCTGGGATTACAGGCTTGAGCCACCACGCCCGGCCTCCCAATAAAAATTTTCAAAACAAAAGAGAGACCAAGTGCAGTGGTCCACCTTCATAATCCCAGCACTTTGAGAGGCCAAAGCAGGTGAATCTCTTGAGCTCAGGAGGTCAAAGTCAGCTGGGGCAACATGGAGAAACACCCTCTATAAATACAAAAAAAATTAGCCAGACATAGTGTCACACCTGTAATCCCTGCAACTCGGGAGGTAGAAGTGTGGGAGGAACACTTAAGCCCGGGAGGTTGAGGCTGCAGTGAGCCAAGATTGTATCACGGCACTCCAGCCAAGAAAAGACAGAAAGGCAAGAGCTCTAGGCTCCAAAACACTACAAATGAAGAAATACAAAAAATATGAGAAAAATATTCACAACAGCTCTAATATACAAACCTGACAACAGCTCTAATATATGAAGAGCTCATATAAATAAGATAATCATAATAAAAAGAGGCCAGAAAGGATGGGCATGATGGCTCATGTCTGTAATTCCAGCACTTGAGGAGGCTGAGGCAGGAGAATCACTTGAGCCCAGGAGTTCAAAATCAGCCTAGGAAACATAACAAGACCCCATCTCCAGAAAAAAATGAAAATTAAAAAAAAAAAATTTTTAGTACCCATCAGTCTTGTTCACTAATGTATCCCTAGTGCTTGATAAGTGGTTAGAACTCAGTATATATGGCCGGGCACAGTAGTTCATGCCTTTAATCCCAGCATTGTGGGGGGCTAAGGTGGGCAGATCACCTGAGGTCAGAAGTTGAAGACCAGCCTGGCCAACATGGTAAAACCTTGTGTCTGCTAAAAATACGTAACTTAGCTGGGCGTGATGGCACAGGCCTTGTGATCTCAGCTACTCAGGAGGCTGAGGCATGAGAATCACTTGAACCCAGAAGGTAGAGGTTGTAGTGAGCAGAGATTCCACCACTGCACCCCCTGGGCAACAGAGGAGACTCTGTCTCAAAAAAAAAAATTTTTTTTTCATTAAAAAAATAATTTTTCCTTTTTTTTTTTTTTGAGACAGAGTCTTGCTCTGTCACCAAGGCTGGAGTGCACTGGTGTGATCTCAGCTCACTGCAACCTCCGCCTTCCGGGTTTAAGTGATTCTTCTGCCTCAGCCTCCCAAGTAGCTAGGACTACAGATGTGTGCTACCACACCCAGCTAATTTTCATATTTTTAGAGAGACGGGTTTTCACCATATTGGCCAGGCTCGTCTTGAACTTCCTGACCTTGTGATCCACCTGCCTTGGCCTCCCACAGTGCTGGAATCACAGGTGTGAGCCCCCTGGCGCCAGTCTAAATGTTTCTTAAAGTAATGAGTATGTGCTGTTTGTTGGGGTGGAAAGAAAAGGACCCTCATCTATAGTGCTGGAAACAATGTATAATCTTTCAGTAGGGCAAAATGACGCTATGAAAATGTTTATATATTGTATACTTTGGGCACAGCAATTTCATCTATAGGAACTTATATCAAAATGCATATGTAAGCACACTATATATGTACAAGACTATCCCATGAAACATAAGCTACAATATAATAAACTAGAACAACCCAAATAGCTATCAATAAAGAGCTGATTAAATAAACTACAGTAACTAAACAAATACCATGTGGCAACTTAAAATAATAAGAAATCCAAATAATAATAATGAGAAATCAATATGGAAAGATGTCAGACACATACTGTTACATCACAGAGGCAAGCTGTGTAACAGTAGCATAGCAAGATGCAATTTTTAAATAGAAATACAGAAGTGACCGGGCGCAGTGGCTCACACCTATAATCCCAGCACTTTGGGAGGCTGAGGCGGGCAGATCACGAGGTCAAGAGATCAAGACCATCCTGGCCAACATGGTGAAACCCTGTCTCTACTAAAAATACAAAAATTGGCCTGGCATGGTAGCATGTGCCTGTGGTCCCAGCTACTCGGGAGGCTGAGGTGGAAGAATCGCTTGAACCAAGGAGGTGGAGGTTGCAGTGAGCCGAGATTGCACCACTGCACTCCAGCCTGGCGACAGAGGGAGACTCCGTCTCAAAAAATAGTAATATAAAAAGAAATACATAAGTGCAAGTTTATATGCACAGAAAAGTGTCTGGCCCATTATATACCAAACATTTATCAATGCTTCTCTCTGGATGGGATTACAGAGGAATTTTCACTTTCCACATACATTTCTGTACTGTCTTAATTTTTACCACGTGAATTTATTACAATACCTTTGGTGATTTTTTTTGCTTTTTTTTGTTATTGTTTTTGTTGTTGTTTGAGACAGAGTCTCACTGTGTCACCCAGGCTGGAGTGCAGTGGCACGATCTCGGCTCACTGCAACCTCCACCTCCCAGGTTCAAACGATTCTCCTGCCTCAGCTTCCTGAGTAGCTAGGATTACAGGTGCGTGCCACCATGCCTGGCTAATTTTTGTATTTTTAGTAGAGATGTGGTTTCATCATGTTTGCCAGGCTGGTCTCACAGTCCTGACCTTGTGATCCACCCAGCCTGTAATACCTTTGTAATCACACACACACACACACACACACACAAATGCCTGAGGACTTGACAGGATATATAACATATCAATGCCACATTGATGATTATGCCACACTTAATGTATTAAGTCCTCTCAAATTTAAATTTGGATTCATCACACCTAAACTTAGAATTAACATGTTAAAAGGTGATTTTAAATCTGGAATCTATTGATTCCAAAATGTGCCTAAAATCAATTCTCTAAAAAGGATCAACAACTTCAGCCGGGCGCGGTGGCTCAAGCCTGTAATCCCAGCACTTTGGGAGGCCGAGGCGGGTGGATCACGAGGTCAACAGATCGAGACCATCCTGGTCAACATGGTGAAACCCCATCTCTACTTAAAATACAAAAAATCAGCTGGGCATGGTGGCGCGTGCCTGTAATCCCAGCTACTCAGGAGGCTGAGGCAGGAGAATTGCCTGAACCCAGGAGGCGGAGGTTGCGGTGAGCCGAGATCGCGCCATTGCACTCCAGCCTGGGTAACAAGAGCGAAACTCCGTCTCAAAAAAAAAAAAAAAAAAAAAAAAAAAAAAAAAAAAAAAAAAAAAAAGGATCAACAACTTCAAATTAATCAATGGATTTTGAAAAAGGTCATGACGTCCAAAAGAATATCCCTACACTAGCCAGGTGCAGTGGCCCATGCCTGTAATCCCAGCACTTTGGGAGACTTGGGTGGGAGGATAGCTTGAGGCCAGGAGTTTAAGACCAGCCTGGGCAACACAGCAAGACCTCCTATCTCTAAAAAATATATATATAATGTTAGAAAGAATATCTCTGTATTAGATAATTACCAGATTATTCATTTATTCAGTAATTTTACTGAAGCTGCTTTTTTTTTTTTTTTTTTTTTTTTTTTTTTTGAGACAGAGTGTCACTCTGATGCCCAGGCTGGAGTGCAGTGACTCAATCTTGGCTCAACTGCATTCTCAACCCCTTGAGTTCAAGCAATCCTCTGGCCAGCCTCTGGAGTAGCTAAGACCACAAATGCATACCACCATATCCAGCTAGTTGTTTTTTGTTTTTGTTTTTTGATGTTTTGTAGAAATGAGGCCTCACTATGTTGCTCAGGCTGGTTTTGAACTCCTGAGCTCAAGTGATCAGTCTCTCAAAGTGCTGGGATTAAGCTGTGAGCCATTACACCCAACCTAATCTACTTCTCTGGAGAATCTACATGGATGTACTAAATCCACTAGACACTTTACAGGAAAACTGAAATGTTGGATTCAGAACAGCAACACGGCACATAATGAAAGTGATCAACCCTAAATTCTGAAGTTCAAATCATAGTGCAGTAGCAAAGACCAACCACAAATGGAATAGGTCATTGGAATCGATCACAAAAGGATTACACGAGATTAAAAAATTATACTTACATTTCGATGGAATTGTGTGAAGGACTGAATCATGTAGAATCGATGCATGTATACTATAGCAGTGTTGATAGTCAATTGTGAGCTGAAGTGTTCAAGTTAAGATCCAAAAACAGACAGGTATAATTCTGGAAAGGATAACCTCTATCTCCTCCCAAAAGGATGAAATGGCCAAGCAAAGTAGATGCTACTAAACGAAAATCATACTTAATCTCTCCAAATCAAAGAGCAGCTCTGTTTTCGTTCACTGAATTACTAACTGCCCACTGAGCTTAGCACATTGCCTTACATATAACGTATTTAATATAAATGTGCTGAATAAATAAACTTCTCAGTATGTATGGATGTAGACAGAATTTTTTTTAAAAAACTATATAAGGCCTGGCTGGGTGCAGTGGTTCACTCCTGGCCTCAAGTGATCCGCCGGTCTTGGCCTCCCAAAAAGTGCTGGTATTACAGGTGTGAGCCACCGTGTCCGGCTGACAACCTTAATGAAAACACACATGCAAAAAGGAAAGCACTTTAAGGATACACTGAAATAGGATTTATTTATTTATTTATTTTTTTGAAGACAGGGTTTCACTCCCACAGCCAGGCAGGCTGGAGTGCAATGGCGCGATCTCAACTGACTGCAACCTCCGCCTCCCAAACTCAATTGATTCTCTGGCGTCAGCCTCCCGAGTAGTTGGAAATACAGGCAAACACCACCGCACCCAGCTAATTTTTGTAGAGACAGGGTTTCGCCATGCTGCCCAGGCTAGTCCTGAACTCCTGGGCTAAAGCCATCCGCCCGCCTCGGCCTCCCAAGTGTTGGGATTGCAAGCTTGAGCCACCGCGCCTGCCCTTTCAAACAAAAAAGGTTTAACTCCGTACTGACAGGATGCTTAGGAAACAAACCTGGACATCAGGAGGAAACAAACTGGCAATAAAAAAGACACCCATTTTGAGATGAACACATCCTTAAGATACAAACATTATTGTCAGCCACACATTTAAATAGAAGCTACACCCAAGAAAATTTTCACATACAGAGTGGAAAAAACTTTGTACTGGTTTTCTCCACCACAAAATAAGTGTATTTCCTGACAAACAAAAATATGTGGGAGAAGTTACCTCATGGGTTTTTGTTTTTTGTTTTTGAGACGGAGTTTCGCTCTTGTTGCCCAGACTGGAGTGCAATGGGGCAATCTCGGCTCACTGAAACCACGCAGCCTCCGGAGTTCGAGCGACTCTCCTGTCTCAGCCTCCTGACTAGCTGGGATTACAGAAACCCGCCACCACGCCGGGGTAACTTTTTTGTATTTTTAATAGAGACAGGGGTTTCATCATATTGTCCAGGCTGGTCTCGAACTCCTGACCTCAGGTGACCCACCCACCTCGGCCTCCCAGACAGCTGGGATTATAGGCGTGAGCCACCGCACCCGGCCGTTACCTCACTTTTGAAACAGAAAATGAAATACACGCCAGCACTCTAAATAACTTAAGGACTTAATATTTTGTAAATTACTTAAAACATTAGATTCGTGGGTATACGCCCCTACAAACCTAAACATCTTTCTTTCCTCTGAAATTCTATAAAACAGCTGCTACTGAGCATCTGAATGCAAAGCATTATGATGGACACAGAATCAAACACAAGAAGTATCATCCCATTTTACAGACAAGACCAAGAATTTGACAGGTCTCTTAAACAGCTAGTAGATGGGAGGAATGGATTTTGGACCAAGGCTGAGACATTAATTCTGGACCACCCTTTGTAACACTTTCAGGTACCGAATTTCTCGAAATTTACACACTAGGTTTGGGAGGCAGCCGTCAACAGAGAAACCTCTGCCAGACACAGACCCCCTAGGGCACAGAGGAAAATAAGTATCTTAAAGTCACCAGAGCAGATAAGAACACAAAGAGAGAGCTGGAGGGGCTGGTTAAAACACAAAGCCAGGAAGGATACGAATTCCCAGCAAGGTTGGTGGCACGGGAGAGCGAGCGGGAAATCAATTCCGCCTCGCTTCCCTAGCGCGAACTGAGTTTCAGCCCGCCCACTGTGGGTTCTCCCAACTAGACATCCAGCTCCTGCCCACCGTCTTCCCCACTTTCTTCCCCCACCAGAGCCTGAGACCTGGACGCCAGAGCATGGCGGGACCAACTCCAAGGCCGAAGGCCTAGGCCGCAAGGATACACGTTAAGACGCTGCCCCATTTCCTGGAGCAGATTGGCCGCCTGCTGGCGATTAGAAAGTTCTTTATCTGGGTCCAGGCCAAAACGACGGGACGGGCTATTTTCCAGCTGTTCTCGAGTAAAATACCACCGTTTGTTGTTGTTCTTCCTGTCTCCCTCCATAGTGCTTCAACCAGAAGGCAGCGGCGGAGGCTGCAAGCACTTCCCAGCGTCACCTACGAGGCGACCCACATCCGCTGTGCGGGGGCAACTGCGACTTGACGAACTTCCGCTGAGCGTCGACCGCCAGGCTGTGACTCGCTTCCGTAGAGGAAGCAAAAGTCAAAGGACCTACTTCCGGAATGCACCTCGTTATATCCCCGAAGCCGAATTAACAGTCTATGACCAGAAAAAAAACCTTGAGCCGAAGACGCAGACGCGTCACGCGGGGTGGGGTTCGAAGTTCTCGCTTAAGCACCGTGTATCTTCTCGCGAGAACCGGAGTGAGCGTTGGCGCCCGGGCTTAGGCTGCCAGGGCGCAATTGTAGTGGGATGAGGCGCCCGCCCACGCGCCGCTTGGCGGTTCTTAGGAGAACTTCGTTTGTGATGGCAGTGGTGATGTAAAATGGGGCGGCAGCTGGAGAACTTCAAAGAGAAAATAGGTGAGGCTGTCAGAAACTAAAAAACAGAATCCAATGGCGGGGCTCTCTCGTATACCGGAACATAAAGCAACTAGAAAGCTGTTACATTGTTGGTAGCAATGCGAAATACGACAACCCATTTGGACAGGTCGCTTTAATGTGTAGACGAAGCCATGAAAACATTTTCACATTTCGCCACAGTGATCCAACTCAAAGGAATAAAATGAAATTAGTAACCTTAAGAGCTTACATGTCCCAGGCACAATATTGACTTAAATAAACTGTTTCATTTATTCGGCACAACTCTAAGAGATAATTTTTAAATCTCTGTTTGCGAATGGGTGAACTAAATCTGCCCCTGGAGTGTGGAAGGCCTCCACCACTACCCCTCACTTACACGATTTACAAGTTCCTGCGCTCTGCGAAGATACATCCCAGCTCCAGCGTCTGATAGCTGTTTGGTCCTGGGCAAGATAGTTGACCTCTCTGTGCCTCTTTTGTGTGATAATACCTATGTTTTAGATTGTGAAAGGGAGTAAAGATTTTATGAATAGAAATTATTTATAATAGTACTGAATAATTTCTAATTATTCAGTAGCTCTTATTGTTACAATATTTGTTACATTGTATTGACATTGAAGGCAAGAGCAATGCCTTCATTTTTGTATGGCACCTACCTAGTATGGCCCTGGCCCTAGTAAATAGTCCTTAAATCTTTGTCAGATAAATGTGCAGAACACCTCACAATACAGAAACAGGATCTGGTAGTTTGTCCGCACTACACCACTAATAAGCATAGATCCTAAATCTAATTCCATTCATCTTTCCATTCATGCGAGCTGGATTCTGGCTTTTCTGGAACCACATTAGTTTACCTTGATTAAATTTGAGTAATTTTAGATGGATTTGGATAATATTAGAATCCTTTGTCTTGCTTTGATAATATTTTGGGTTTTGTCATTTCTAGGCATGGGTGATCTTACTATGTTTGATCACCCATGCCTAGAAATGAATTAGAATGATTCTAATTCATTCTCAGAAGTGTTTCTTTCCATTTCAGGTCACCTCTGCCATATTCTGCCTGTAGTTAGTATTAGCTCCATTTTGCCCTGGAGAAATTGAGGTTCAGTAATTAAATGATTTACTTCTGGTTATAAGGTAAAAGAACTTAGGATTTCAAACTTCTTCCCTCTCAAACTCTTTAGTTTTAATAGAATAAGCACCTATAAAATAGGTTTTTTAGTAGAATAAGCACTTTTTCAGTTACGTAGTCATGTATGTTGTCTTTAAACAGTTGTGTTAGTTCATTTTCACACTGCTGATAAAAAGATACCCGAGACTGGACAATTTACAAAGGAAGGAGGTTTAATGGAGAATGGAGAACTCACAATTCCACATAGCTGGGGATGCCTCACAACCATGTCAGAAGACAAGGAGGAACAAGTCACATCTTAAGTGGATGGCAGCAGGCAAATTTTCTGATTTGTGCTTGGTTCTCCACTTTTTCTCTAGGATTAATGACTCCATATTGAGTTTGCTATCTTGGTTAAGTATGCCGCTCTTCAGGGCATATGTTAGCCTTTAAATACACTTTAATAATACACACTGCCCTTAAAGAACAATTGACAAAAATTTAAACCAGAGGAATTTTCTTTTTAAAAAAATATAAATACTACTCCATTTCTTGTAAGTCATACCTATAGGTCTACTCCTCCTATTTACTAGAGACTAATCTTGTTCTGGGTATAGGACTGTGTTTCATGGCGTTTTGGGGTTTTTGTTTTTATTATTTTTAAATTTTTATTTTTTTTCTGTGAAACTGCTTCAGAAGGTCCTAAGAACGTGTACCCCTGTTTTTGTTTGTACAAATGGGATCTTGCCATGTTGCACAGGCTGGATTCAAACTCCTAGGCTCAAGTGATCCTCCCAACCTCAGCTTCCCAAATAGCTAGGATAATAGGCACATGCCACCATACCCGACTAGATCATAGCTTTTAAATACTAGAATATGTCACTTTTTTGTGTTATCAACAATGTAATGGCTTTAGACATGATACACTTTTTTTTTTTCTGAGACAGACTCTCACTCTGTCACCCAGACTGTAGTACAGTGGCATGATCTCAGCTCGCTGCAACCTCACCTCCCAGACTCAAATGATTCTGCCTCAGCATCCTGAGTAGCTGGGGTTACAGGCCTGCACCAACACACCCAGCCAACTTTTGTATTTTTTTTTTTTTTTTTTTTGAGACAGAGTCTCACTCTTGTTACCCAGGCTGGAGTGCAATGGCGCGATCTCGGCTCACCGCAACCTCCGTCTCCTGGGTTCAGGCAATTCTCCTGCCTTAGCCTCCTGACTAGCTGGGATTACAGGCACGTGCCACCATGCCCAGCTAATTTTTGGTATTTTTAGTAGAGACGGGGTTTCACCATGTTGACCAGGATGGTCTCGATCTCTTGACCTCGTGATCCACCCGCCTCGGCCTCCCAAAGTGCCGGGATTACAGGCTTGAGCCACCGCGCCCGGCAACTTTTGTATTTTTAATAGAGACACAGTTTCACTATGTTGCCCAGGCTAGTATCAAACTCGTGGCCTCATGTGATGCAGCCCACCTCAGCCTCCCAAAGTGCAGGGATTACAGGTGTGAGCAACCATGGCCAGCCAGACGTGATATACTTTAAAACATAATCTGAATTATTAACATTTTCTCTATCCCTTTCTTAAATTGAGACAATCAACAAAGTGAATAAATCCAGCTTTATTTGTAACATTTGCCAATTTCTGTGATATAAATCCTCCCACCATGCCTGATTTCAGTATGCCCATATGACATCACTGATCACAACATTGGGAAAAGAGGCACACACCATCACATAGTATTTTCTCCAGACAGATACAATAGATAGGGAGTACCAGTTTCTAGTCTGACAGGTAAAGAACTTGTGGGAGATCACTCCCATTCTCACAAGAAGGAAAAAGCCAAACAAACTAAAACTTAACAGCCCTTCTTATACTGAGAACTGAGGTCCCTTCACCCCAAAATCTGGAGAGACATTGCGACTCAAAATAGGTAGAACAGAGAATCATGACATACTTGGAGGAAAAACCACTACTGGAAGCAGCAACTGGTAGAAATACTTATAGGACAATTGACGAATTGCTGGAGACTGAACATAGACTAGCTTGAGATACTTTTAGACTCTTAGGCACCCAGTGTTAAGGCATCCCCCACATTTTTGTGAGTTTGCTTCCAACAGGAAGAGAGAGAAGTTAGCCATTTTGAAATAGAGCATTCTATTTTCCTTAACAAAGGCCTGTCTTCAAGGGAAACTGTGGAACAGAGCCTAACCAATGTGGGAGAAGGGATATACCCAACAGAAGCCTCCTCTAGTCTTCCTGTTTCATGTGAGGGAAGGAAAAAAATGAGACAGTTGTGAGGGTCATAGCCCAAGGACATATGTGCAATGAAAGACAGACCTAATAATAGAATTACAGAATGCTTTCCCTTACCCACCTTAATAGGGCTCCTGTATAATAATGGGATTATAACTGAAAAAACTGCAAGGCTCTGACCCTATTTCAGGAAGAGTCTCTAAGGAAATTGAAAGAGCAGGGGAGGCAAAAACAAGGACACCATAGGAAATTTTAGCATCTAACACCTATAGCTATAGCAAACAGTAAACACAACTTAATTCCTAGCCATATAAACAAAACCTGACCCTTACCCAATACATCATGTCTGACTTAAATCAATTATATGGCATGCTAAAATGTAAATATATATACAATCTAGAAAGACAAAGCAAGGCCAACAGCAATGGCTCATGCCTGGAATCCCAGTATTTTGGGAGGCTGAGGCGGGCAGATCACCTGAGGTCAGGAGTTCGAGACCAGCCTGGCCAACATGGCAAAACCCCGTCTCTACTAAAAATACAAAAATTAGCTGGGCATGGTGGCAGGCACCTGTAGTCCCAGCTACTCGAGGGGCTGAGACAGGAGAATTGCTTGAAACCGGGAGGTAAAGGTTGCAGGGAGCTGAGACCATGCCATTGCCCTCCAGCCTGGGCAACAGAATTGATACTCCATCTCCTCCATCTCAAAAAAGACAAAGCAAATATCAGAACCAGACTCACATATGGCAGAAATTTGGGAATTACCAGACTCAGAATTTAACTATTAATATGTTAAGGGTACTAATGGAAAAAGAAGACAACATTCAGTAACAAAGGGTAAAGTAAACAGAGATAAAAACTCTAAAGAATCAAAAGGAAATGCTAGAGATCAAAAACACTGTAACAGAAATGAAGAATGCCTTTGGTGGGCTCATCAGTATACTGGACATGACAAAGGAAAAAATCAGTAAGCTTGAAAACATGTCAGTAGGAGACTTCCCAAACTGAAAAACAAAGAGAAAAACAAATGATAAAAGAGTGGAATATCCAGATACAATGGGAGTAAATAAACTCATGAGCATAGATTAGAGTAAAATAATCAGGATGAGATGAGTTGTTAGTATTTACTACATTTATTTTATTTTAAGACAAGTTCTGGCTCTATCGCCAGTCTGGAGTGCAGTGGCACAATCTCGGCTCAAGACAACCACCACCACCCAGGCTCAAGCCATCCTGTCACCTCAGCCTCCTGAGTAGCTAGGACTACAGGCACATACCACCACACCCAACTAATTTCTGTTGCTTTTTTTTGGTAGAGACAGGGTTTTACCATGTTGCCCAGGCTGATTTCAAACTTGTGAGCTCAAGAGATCCATCTGTCTCGGCCTCCCAAAGTGCTGGGATTACAGATGTTAGACACCACGTCTGGTGTACTACCTTTATTTTTAATATAACTTTTTCAATTCTAAGTTTAATTTAATTTTAATCCCTTAACAACCAGTTCACAAAATTAATGAAAATTTAACAAGCTTTCAAAAGTCACTATGATTTGGCACACCACTGCTGAAACAAAAACTCATTGAAAAGTATCCTATTCAGATTTTTTTTCCTGACTATAAGGCTGGATTACTACTAATACTTAAATACTGACTTAAATTTTTAAAAGACTTAAATACAGGCTCATGCCTGTAATCCCAACACTTTGGGAGGTCAAGGAGGGCAGATCACTTGAGGTTAGCAGTTCGAGACCAGCCTGGTCAACCCTGTCTCTACTAAAAATATAAAAATTAGCCAAGCGTGGTGGCATACCCTTGTAATCTCAGCTACTCGGGAGACTGAGGCACGAGAATCGCTTGAACCCGGAAGGCAGAGGTTGCAGTGAGCCGAGATTGCACCACTGGACTCCAGCCTAGGCAACTAATGGAGACTCAATCTAAAAACAAACAAACAAACAAAAAAGATTTAAATACTGTTTGTCAAGTTTCCATTATGTGCTGAACACTGTTCTAAGGACATTTGCATATATTATCACATTCAATTCTCATAACTATCAGGTAGATACTGTCATTGCCATTTTTTAAAATTTAAAATTAAAAACTGAGGCTTAATTTATTCAAAGTCAGACACCTAGAATATGGCATAACTAAGATTTGAGCCCAGGTCAGTGCTGTTTCTACTCCCTGCCTTCTGATGCTTACAGTAGAAGACTAGATCAAGAAAAGGTGTACTGACAACTGATTCCTCCATTTTTCAGAAGTTATTTAGCCCACTCTCACTTCAGCTCCATTGTGAACCTTTTTTTTTTTTTTGAGACAGAGTTTCACTCTTGTTACCCAGGCTGGAGTACAATGGCGCGATCTCGGCTCACCGCAACCTCTGTCTCCTGGGTTCAGGCAATTCTCCTGCCTCAGCCTCCTGAGTAGCTGGGATTACAGGCACGCGCCACCATGCCCAGCTAATGTTTTGTATTTTTAGTAGAGACGGGGTTTCACCATGTTGACCAGGATGGTCTCGATCTCTTGACCTCATAATCCACCCGCCTCGGCCTCCCAAAGTGCTGGGATAACAGGCTTGAGCCACCGCGCCCGGCCTCCTTTTTTTTTTTTTGAGATGGAGTCTTACTCTGTAGCCCGGGCCGGAGCACTGAAGTACAAAGGCACGATCTTGGATTACTGCAACCTCCACCTCCCGGGTTCAAGCAATTCTCCTACCTCAGCCTCCTGAGTAGCTGGGACTACAGGCGTGTGCCAACCCACCCAGCTAATTTTTGTATTTTTAGTAGAGACGGTTTTCACCATGTTGGTCAGGTTGGTCTCGAACTCCTGACCTTATGACCCGCCTGCCTTGGCCTCCTAAAGTGCCGGGATTACAGGCGTGAGCCACCACACCCGGCCTCCCCTGTGAACCTATAAATCCTGTGCCTCATTAGACAAAGGGAGTGTCAGTTGTGGTAATTCTTCAGGACATTACCGTGGTTACCAGACAGAGTCCAGTGCCCCAACCTGAACATTCCAGAAGAGGCCAGGGAGGATCTGAGATGGCCTTCTTCAACTTAAATCTATTGGGCTATCAAAATTCCTTTTGGAATAAGAAAAGGAATGCAACTGAAGAAACAAGTAAGGAGAATATAGGGTAGAGGGTTAGAAGGGCCACTTCTTCACCTAGGTGCTTTGTAGCCACTTCCTAGCTATTTATTTTTCTACCTGGGGAGAGATTTATCCTCCAAGATCAAAAGTTATGCTAGTTAAAATTGTAGAGTAGGGACAGTATCCTTTCAGCTTTGCTCTCCTGTCATTTAATATCCTTATTAAGACACACAATTTGGGCCAGGTGCAGTGGCTCACATGTAATCCCAGCACTTTGGGAGGCTAAGGCAGGAAGATTGCTTAATCCCAGCACTTTGGGAGGCTAAGGCAGGAGGATTACTTGAGCCCAGGAGTTGGAGACCAGCCTGGGAAACATAGACCGCATTTCTATGAAAAGTTACACAAACTAGCTGGGTGTGATGGTGCATGCCTGTGGTCCTAGCTACTTGGGAGGCAGAGGTGGGAGAATCTCTTGGGCCCAGGAGGTCAAGGATGAAGTAAGCCTTGATCATGGTTGACTGTGGTCCAAAAATATTAATGGAAAATTCCCAAAGTATACAATTTATAAATTTTACTGTGTATGCCCTTCTGAGTAGAGTGATGAAGTTTTGCACCATCCCACTTGGGAAGAGGATCATCCCTTTGTCTAGCATATCCACTATCCACCCGTTACTGTATAGGAAAAAACATAGTGTATATAGAGTTTGGCACCATTTGAAGTTTCAGATGTCCTCTGAGAGTCTTTTTTTTTTTTTTTTTTTTTTTTTT